AATAAATAGGGTACGTTATTTTTAAAGTTTGTTATTAAACTGCAGAATAAGCTGCAAAGGTGACACATTTAGCAAACAGAATTTTAAAGCTAAAACTTGAATCTTTTATAGCAATCAAATGTTCAGTAATTACCCACAATGCACTTGATGTTTGTTAGCATCCAGAATTTCTGCAAATAACTGAATAAACATTTAACAATTATATTAACAAATGATTGTAATGCTTATGAAAGATTAATAATTGTAATAACAAGCATTTAGCCATTTAAACACAATACAGAAAAACTAAAGTATAGGTTTTGAATGAAAAGTGACTCAATTTATAGAAACCAATCATTAGATAAACTGTGTTATTACTTTAGTCGAATGGTCGACAAGAATGTTTACTTTTTCTGATGTTAATGGTGCAAGTTTTAGTTCAGAGTCAGTGAAATCTTTCAGATTTTTTCCATAAGTTAACAACAAAAAACTGTTGACAGCACCATTAAAGGCTGTAAACGTAGTGAGGTGATCATCGTCATCCTTTATTATTAGTTTACATACTAATTTGGTTTTGGTAATTGATTTCAAAAATGAATTTTTGCAATTTGAACAAGAAGCAATCTGACTTTCACCAGTAGTATCTGGCATATCTGCATTACATAATAGACAGCATTTATTTTGACGGATATCAACACTAATGATGGTACCTTCTACTATATTTCCTTGTATTTCTGGTGCTGTTAAGTCAGATATTTGAAGGTCATCAACAAGATTTACTTTGGTCTCCTTAGTTGTGTTAATATATTTTACATCATTATAGACTTTAACTTTCAAATTTTGAATGTGGTATGATTTCACCCTTTGTATCTGATCTACTGCATCTTCCCAAAGTTCAAGTCGTATCTGTTCTCCTGATGAGATCTGATGAGTCAGCAACAACTGCATCAGCTTTGAAACAAGGTCTTCCCATGTCTTCCTCTTACTATGATCTTCTGCTTTTCTTCCTCTTTTGTGATTCGACTTTCACTTTGACATCGATGGTTTGAAATTTGGGTTTACTTGAGATATCAGCGACTGATATCAGTCTGTTGTTGAATGATTGGTCATAGGTGAAATCGAGCTTGGTTGATCTGATAGATACTTTGCTTTTTTTGCTGATGGTGAAATCCAGTTGGTCTGCATTTCTTTTATTTGGGCTAAAATGTCCACCTTTAATTTAGCGCTCCGCACAGTTACTAAAAATAGATACATTAAGCGTGGATTTCACTAGCGCATAAGCATAGGCATAAGCACGAAGCACGAGAGTCACATGCGCCAGTGAGAACGGGCTCAAAATACGCATAAGCATGAGCACAAGAAAAACAAGCAAGGCTTGATCTTCTTGTGCTTATCTCATCCTTATCTCATGCTTATGCTCAGTGAGAACGAGACTGCATAGGCATAAGCATAGCCTGGTACCGAAAAAAATACGCTCGTGCGCATGAGCAATGTCTTATGCTTATGTCGAGCCCGTTCTCACTCACGCATATGATTCTCATGCTTGTGCTTATGCTATGCTAATGTGCTAGTGAAATCCACGCTTTAATATGCGACCCCCTATGGACTCAGACATTGAACCCAAACACGCCAGTACAAACACACCAAAAAAACACTGATTTCATCAAGAAATATCTTCAATTATATTCGTACTAGAAGCTTTTAAACATAATGATTATGTCGAGTAAGCACTACTGCTTCATTGGACCATGGAATATCATCTGTAAATGCCCTGAATGTCTCGCAGATCCGCCTAACGTCTTGGGACTTATGCCCGCTACCTAACCTATGTTACGCTGTATATAAAATGTGTTTTATATACATTTTTGCCAGAAAAACTACTCTAGAAGTATTTRGAGATAACCGAAATTGGCTGCTTTAGTTGTTAGGAGGAAAGTACACTTCATTAAAACGCATTTCTGGCATTTGATTCCATCGAATCTTGGCGGATCACGGCATTGTGTGTCTTTATGTCAGACTTGAAAACTCAATCGAATAGTATTATCATTGTAATTATTTGAAGTAAAGAGAGCCACAATGGCAAAATAATATTCCTTTTATTGTATAAAGAGTTTAATCATTGAGTTTTGCGTCATTCTAGCCATTTATTTACTWTKTAACAAACCGAGTTATWGTACTCGACAAGGGATATACACCGGYTGCTTTGATTGAACGTAAAATTATACAAGCGAATAARAAATAAATTCTAAAGAAATATCAACTCAATCTAATTCGTATATACATAATGGTTTCCTATTAGTTTGAGACTATTTAATCACAAGTTTTGGGCCCGTTTAACGGCCCGCTTTCGCTTTACTTTTGCTCACGAAAACTTGTATTTTCTGCAAAAAGTATTGTAGATATTCGTTTACTATTATTTTTGAGCCATTATTTTGATTTTTACACAGACTATCGAACTCGAATAGCGTTGAACTTAGGATCGCTGGTTCGATTCTCGACTCGATCCGACGCATTTGCATCATCCTCATAGATTTTATAATATGAAAGTTTGCTTTGCTTTGCAAGAACGTGTATATATTTTAAAGTTATTAAGGAAAGAAAAAAAAAATGTTTAGAAGCTGCTCGAGCCGGGAATCGTACCCGAGATCGTCAGTTCAACGCCGCTATTCAAGTATGATCTTGCGTGTAAAATATGTAAAACAAATATCCACATGAAAAATGAGAATTAGTATATTTTATTAAAAAAAAGAAGGAAAAAAAAAGGATCGCTTAGAAGTGATCGAGTCGAGAATCTAGTAACCCGCGATCCTAAGTTCGAAGCTATTCGAGTACGATAGTCTGTGTAAAATCAAAATAATGGCTCGAAAATAATTATTAAACAAAATCTACAGAAAATCAAGATTACTATAACAACTATATTATGTTTAAAAAGAAAGAARGAAAACGAGTTTCGAACCYACGATCCTCTGTTCGAYRCCGCTGTTCGAGTGACGAGTATCATCTTGTTTCTAAAATTTAACACACTCGGCTGAATACTAATAAAAAAAATGCTACGATAAAAATCTAACATGACATAGAACACTTATATCTTAGCTAAAAAAGGAAAGAAAAAAAGAATTTTTCAGGATTGCTCCAGTCTCGAGGATCGAACCTTTGAACTCTGGATTATGGGTCCCTTGGGATTGCTAAACTGCGATGTAAAAAAAAAAAGTCGCTGCATTTTATAAGTTACCAAGAGGGGTAAATGTCGTTCCACAACCCAATTTGAAGAGGAAGGCTCCTAGAAATGGGTTCCTGTGAGTATGTTTTGTTAAAGGTTGGAATGAGAGAAATAGAAAAAATTGAAACACACCTACAAATATTTTAAATCTATGTGAAATCCTGTGTACTTTGATGCGAAAAAAAAAAAATCAATGACGTGCCTAAGGATTTTTTTCTCAACGATCAACGTAGTTTCTATCTTTACTTTACCTAAATGTCCAGTGAATTGTAGAGTGCACGTCACATAAGCATGAAACAATTCTTAATATGTATTGCTAAATAAGGTTTAGGTATCAACTAAGGATTCAACAAAGCATAAACACAATGCCAATTATTTAAATTCCTTTGTAGCATTGTTCTCAATTCTTAGTTAGTTGATAACTAAATCTTATTTAGCACTACATAGTTAAGAATTGTTTCATGCTTATGTGACTTGCACTCTAATAATGCATGAATGAAGAAATATGGAGGATATTACATGGGCGCGCGGAAATATGGATTTTATCTTCGAGTGTTGAAAAGATCTCACGAGTGAGCGAAGTGAGATTTTTAACACGAGAAGACAAAATTCGTATCTCCAATTGCAAGCGACCATGTAATGTTCTGTTTAGCATACAATTATGGCCAATTATATATTTGGAAGCAAATCATGTCGTAAAATACACTTTTTCTTCCAATATATTATAGAGCAACCTTGAATGTGTTATTTCACTAGTGATATCAAAGTCATTCAATGTTAACTTGAACATTTGCTCTAATTAGCGTCCAGACTCGGGGTTGAAATGGGAATATTTCAACTTAAGATATTCTGTATTCCGCTGTTCTGCAGGGGTGAATATTCCCATTCCTTGATAATATTTTTATAAGTAATACCATGGAACGAGGGAAATTAGTGATTAAATTTCCCCGAAACCGAGGGAAAATTTGTTGAAGTCCCGAGGGCGCAGCCCGAGGGACTTTTACAAATTTTCCCGAGGTATCGGGGAAATTTAATCACTAATTTCCCTCGTTCCATGGTATTACTTTGTAATACTATTATCGGCGAGGAAGTAAGGAAACATCTTTGATATCATGTTCAGTTTTCTAGTCAAGGAAGCGTAAACAACGCCGCCAAAATGCATAACTAGCTCTTTAGCGTATTGTACACCTAGGACACATAGGCTTGATAATGATGTAATCAAACAATAGTTTTCAAACACATTAGTTTGTCTTCATTGTGTAATTGATTCAACATTTGTTCGTTAGTACTATTTCATACACTTGTTTTGTAGTCCCTTAGGGTACAAAAGATAATATTTATATCGCAGAATTAAAATTCGTATACAATGCTCAAACAACATGTCGGAGCGGTTTTCGTTTAGAACAAACAGCTAAGTTCAATAAATTAAGATTGATTGTATCAGTTTTGCTGTATTAAACGCTATTTCTTTCGATGCTTCATTTCGAGTTGGCAAAAGTGTAAGTGCAATGTGGTGCTATAGCAAACGATTTAAAACGAGTGATTTTATATTATATTTTTTATGTGACTGCGTGTAAATCTGTCATAGACATTTTCGTTTCTTTTAACTAAGTGCACAGGCATGCGCAGTTAGGTAAACAATGTCCCACATGCAAGACATGCTAGTGCCATATGGTGTAGGAGACCTGTTTTCACTAGAAATTCTTTTGAGGGGTATCTAGTCTACTATATTTTCATTGTGCACGGCATTAGGGAAGTATAGAAGGCAAAGGAACTCCAATTTTCCTCATGAATAACATGAGGGAAATTTAGAAGACAAAGGATTCTTTTGTCTTTTACTAAATTTCCCTCTATTTAATTTATGCAAGGGAGATTTAGTATTGTGTTTTACTAAATTTCCCTTGCATAAATTAAATAGAGGGAAATTT